GCAGACACTGGGCGGCGGCGTGCGTGCTCGTGGCGTTTGGGCTGGGATACGTTTTGTGCGTTAGGCTGTTAGAGAAGAGAGAAGAGGGAGAACAGGGCCTGCGCTGCGCTGGCTGGACCCCAGGCCCATATAGAAATATGTGTAGGCTTTTTCATTTGAAGGGGGAGAAATCCGGGAGCTCCTATTGGGCGCCACAGGCGCCAGAAGTCCTCCCTGGCGCCTACTACACCGCTGAGTTGGGCCGGCCCAGCAAACGTATGCAACATCGAAAAATCATAGCGTTTAAACAATTACAGAAATAAATGCCCTGGACAGGTTTCGAACTCGTGCAGTTCTACTCACATATGAGTTCTGCTAACCAGTCAGAATACTTGCCACTTGTGATAGGTAACAGGCACAAATTATATAATAACAATGTTTTCTCGCTATTTTATTGCACAAAACGGTACCAATTACTATTTTTTGAATTATTTGACAAAAAAATCGTGAATTTGAAAAGCCTCATAGATATCGAACAAAGTCCAGAAACTTGAAAAAAAGTTCATCAATTTTTGAAAAGCTCATCAAAATTTAAAAAAGTTCATGGATTTTCAAAATTAGTTCATCAATTTTCAAGAAAAGTGCACAAACCTAAAAAAAGTTCATCAATTTTCAAACAAAAATTTCATTGGTTTTGAAAAAGTTCATCAAATTTGAAAAAAAGTTCATTGAAATTAAAAAAAGTTCATGGATTTTTAGAAAAAATCATTGATTTTGAAAAAAAAATCATCGGATCTAAAAAAAGTTCATCGAAATTGAAAAGGATTCATTGATTTTGAAAAGGTTCACAGAATTTGAAAAAGGATGAGGAACAAAGAAAAAGAAAACCCGACCTGGCGTCAGCAAATAAATTAATGGACTGAAGTTCCTGTTCGTAGGAGTGGTCCTGGCCTGGTGGCTAGAGCCTTGCGCTCTCAGCGACGTGGTTCCAGGTTCGATCCTTGTTTCACGCAATTTTTTTGACGCTTCTCTAAAAACAGAAGAAGAAAAACAAACCAAAACGGGCCGAGCCCATCTAACGCGGCTGCAGGCGCCCGTTTGCAACTTGCACTGTAAACGGGCGCTTGCAGCGCCAAATAGGAATTGCCGAGAAATCCAGCCAAATCCTATTCGGCGCTCCCCCGATCTCACATCGTCGCTATATGGGCCGGCCCTTTTATTTCTGTTTTGAAAGCGCAAAAGCAAAAGAAAAGCGGGTGCAGTAGGGAATCGAACTGGGTACCGCTGTTTCATCGTACACTACACAAATCACCACGCCACCAAGCCTACTCTGATTATGTGTTCCTTTTCTAGTTCTTTTCTTCCTTGTGCTTTTCTTTTATCATTTTTTGTTTTCCTTCTTTTCTTTTTCTTTTTTCTTTCTTACTGGTTCGACACAAAATCGATGATTTTTTTCAAAACTCCATGAACTTTTTTGAAACTTGATGAACTTTTTTCAATCTCGATGAAAAATTTTCTCAAATTTGATGAACTTTTTTCAAACTCGATGAACTTTTTTCTCAAAATCGATGAACTTTTTTCAAACTTGATGAACTTTTTTCAAACTCGATGAACTTTTTTCATATCCATGAACTTTTTTCTCAAATTCGATGAACTTTTTTCAAACTCGATGAACTTTTTTCAAACTTGATGAACTATTTTCATATTCATGAACTTTTTTATGAAAAGTGATGAACTTGTTTTAAATCTATGAACTTTTTTCAACTTTGTGGTCTTTTTTATCGAAATCAATTAAAAAATTACAAATTTGTGAACTTTTTGAGAATTCATGAACTTTTTTTTCTCAAAACCGATGAACCTTTTTCAAAATCCGATGAACTTTTTTCAAATCTGTGAACTTTTCTTTGAAATCCGCGACCTTTTCAAAATCGGTGATCTGTTTTTTAAATTCCTGAATTCTTTGTTCAATTTTTCGTTCCCTTTTACCAAATAATTTGCACTGCCGCAGAAATTCGGGGTCAAATAAAATTGTTTTCGTACATAGAACATCAATGTTATGATGGTGCTGTGGTTGAAGCCGCAAGAATGTGAGCAAAGGCACGTGGGTTCAAATCCCTCTTTCTACATATATTTTTTGGCCGTTTCTTTTTTATCTTCAGAACGAGGGCTACATATATTTCGGCTCGTTCTTGGGCCGGCCCGCATAACCAGGTGCGTGGGCGCTCGGTTCGTTTGCTGGCGCATAAGGCGCCAGCGAGGAGCTCTCAGAAATCCACGAGAGCTATGTCTTGCATTAGCGAGACAGAAGCTACTCTCACATCGAGAGTCTACAGTGACGGAAGGAGTGCGCGGCGATTCGATCCCGGGTCTCCTGGATAATTCGCAGGGCAGCTAAGAAGTGTGCTATTGTTGAATTACTGATGAAATGTATGACACGTCCTGCTTAAGGAGAGACGGTCTGGTTTTCCACTATTTTTTTCCTTTTCATCGTCTTTTCGCTGTTCTCAAATGAAAGTTTTACTCGTTTTGGAAAGATGGTTTTTCTTCATTTCTTTCCTTATTTTTACTTGTTTTTTCTTTTCTTTTTTTCTTTCTTCTTTCTTCATTATTATTCAGATTTCTCCTTTTTTTTTCCTTTTCTTTTGTTTATTTTTTGGTTTTGCTATATATTCTCCCTTTTTTTTTGTTTTTCCTTTTCCTTTTTATTTTGTTCCCATCATTGATTTTATCGGTTTTTTCATTCTTTTTGCATTGGTTTCATCGGTTTTATTTTTCTTTTTCTTTTTCCTTTCGTTTATTTTGTTTCCTTTTCAATTTTCATCTTTTGGTTTTCTTTTTGGTTTTCATTATATACTTTTGTATATGTAAACAACATCTTTTGATACACATTTAACATTTTTCCAATACAAATTTAATATTATTTTAATATATGGTCAACATTTTTCTATGTGTATTTCTAAAAAAATCAAATGCTTGATTAACATTTTTGGAATACATGGTTAACATTTTTTTCTACAGATTTGTAATATTTTTTAATACATGGTCAACATTTTTTGTTTACAGTTACTAAATGCTTGATTAATAGTTTTGAATAAAAAGGTTAAAAAATTGAATACATGTTCAACATTTTTTCCATACCCATTAACATTTCCAAATGATTGATTAACATTTTTAAACACTTGTTCAACATTTTTTTCAAATGTTGTACTAAGATTTTTATATACATGATCAAAATTTTCCATCATTTATTTAGTACATGGTCAACATGTTTTCTATAAACATTTCAACATCTACCAAATGCTTGATTAAAAAATTTCAAATGCTTGATTAACATTTTAAACATGATCAACAGTTTTTCTATACATGTTCAAAATTGTAGAAATTGTTTTTTTTTAATATCTGAGCCCAAAAACTCGTTTACTTTTTCCTTTTTGGAAAGCATAGTTGTGTTTTGCCCTTTTCGGCAAGTATGGTTGTGCTCCTCGCGAAAGAACAAACCGTGTTTCTCCTTTTACGGAAGAGTGACAGTGCTTCTCGTAGAAGAACGGGTTGTGTTTCTCCTTTCTCGGGGAAGCACAACTTTTTTCCATTTTAGGGAACCACAAGTGTGCTTCTCGCAGAAGCACATGTTGTGATTTTCTTTTGGGCGGCTATGTTTTCCCTTTTTGGGAAACACAATTGTACTTCTCACAGAAGCGCATGTTGTGCTTCTCACGAAAGAGCATGCTTCCCCAAAACTAGAGGTTGAGTACAGAAAACGGTACAATGCACGACATGAATGCAAGGAGACATGAGCATGGGGTCCGGAGAAGAGAGAGAGAAGGGGTGCCCAGCCCAAAGAAGGAGACTCACCCAGCTAATCCCACCAAGCCTAAAACTAGAGGAGCAAACCGAATCAGCCTGTCAAACATCTTCAATTCCAACACCAGGGACTCCGCGAGCAAGCAAGATAGCGCCTCCAAGAAAGGGAATGACGCCGTGATGCCGCCGCCATCCAATCCGAAGAACCGTACCTAGGGTTTTACCTGATGCTCGAAGAGGGGCTCGGATAAAGGCCATGGCAACGCATCTAGGAAGGGAAACGACACCCGTAAGTGTCGCTACGGCCAGCATCGGCAAGCAGAGCATGGATTTCGCCTGGCCTGATTCCGAGCAATCCCATAGCCGCCAGATTAGGATCCAAAGCTGTGATAGTCAACCTGCCTGTTGCCTGCTACCACAAAAAGGTGGCGGATGGGGTTGCTTTGGAACCGACATGACGTTTATGGACACCTTGAATCCTAGGTGCTTGGGGGCAGCTCCGCTCTTGATGGGAGCGAGAGGAAGAGAAAGAGAAAATTGAATATTTTTTGCTTGTTTTTC